AACAGACAGTGGTGGGTACACGCTCTCCGCACCAAGCGGATGATAATATGGTCTAACTGGTGTTTAAGCTGGTGACCGTAACAAAGGTGTCGCCTCAAATCTGCGAGGAGTTGAGAATCGGAAAATATTGGAATGGAAAAACTAAATGAAGCCACCTGCACGAGCTTCTGCTGCTAAAAGCAACACAAGAGGAAGAAACAGCACCTGTCCAGTGATGACCTCTGAGAAAGCACCATGTGACAGTGAGAAGAAAAAGGAACCCATTTCAACAGGAATGAACCAATAACAGGACGAGTCTCTGCGAGGATGGCGATCCACTCATCAGCTGTGAAGATGAGCGGGAAAGAAGGAGCCAAGAAAAGCACGTTGAAGCCTTCACTTCAGTTTGAATGCGTGCAGCGACCCTCCGCTGGGGGAACGTGGGTCTTTACAAACCTAGACTGATGATTTGTGCTCTGCTGCGCTGAAACAGGAACTCCGAAGCTGGCCTGAAATGTTATTGTGAGCTGCAGCGTTTCAAATTTCCCTTCAGCGGAACGAAGATATCTTTTATCTATTAAACATAAACATAAGGGATATGCTGAGCTTCTCTCTGTTGCAGAGTGAGCTGAACAAATGTATTTGTCGAGTTTTGTCAGACACAAATGTTTGTCATGTTTCCTACAAACAACAGCTCGATATTGTCTCAACATGGCTGATTCATCGGTCTGCAGGCGCGTCTGCGGAGGTTTGACAACCTGATATTTTGTCTCTTTTCATAATGATTTCACCTTCCTCTCCTTTGAACAGAGATGTTTGCATGAGCCCCCTGAGAGCAGCCATCATGTCAGGACTGTAGCTCGCTGACAGCTTGATGTCTGATATTTAATTAAAGGCCAACATTAATTCCAGCCCCATCCCCACCTGTTTGCAGCTCCTGCCCCTGACCTCCAATCAGACAAACTGATGTTCCTTGACCACAGCTTTCCTTCCCAGGCAGCTGTTTGCACTGATTTTGTGCACATTCAACCAAAGAGGAAGAAGGGTGGGGCTAATTAGAGCCGCCAGCTGCTGCTGGGAGGAGATGACGAAAACCTGCCCGGCCTCGGACCTCACAGAGCAGGATTTTACTGCACAAATGCCCACGGACACATTAAGTGGGTCAAAGGCTGAAGCAGGTTGAGTGAAGGCCACAAACCTTCACGTTTTCATCCAAATCGGCTTTTTCACAGATCAACCCTCCGTCCTGCGACACCCTCTGCCTGCCACTGAGCCACTACAGGCAGCAGCAGAGAGGAAGGGACAAACAAACCGGGATATGTCACCGCCGATAAGCAGCGCGGCCGGACGAGACAGATGCTCGGGCAGGGGTTTCAGGGGCCGACAGTGGAACATGTCACATCTGATCTAGGTTCAGCTCTGCTGCCAAGCCAGACTGTCAGTAGGTTCGGGGAACGACGGAAGCCGAGTGACACAATCAGACAAAGTGTCTGCATCTACAAGGATGAGGCCAATCTGTCCGTACTGTATATTTATCCATGTACACATTTTTGCACATTTAAGGGTCTTTGATGTGTAAACAAGCTGCAACAACGATCATTTTTCACGCTGGGATTATGATTTGCAATGAGACATTTTGAGCCATCAAATGCACTGCGATCAATAGCAGACACAAAAGTGACAACAGCCTCTGACTCGTCGATGATTGCAACATCATGTTGAGTCACACTTTTTGAAGGGTCTCTTAATTAAGGGGAAAAGTGGAAACACAGCACGTCCTCACCTCAGAAACAGGAGCTTCAGCGCATGGCTAACATCACTCTGTCTTACTCTCTTCCTCCTTGTTGTTCTTTATTATTAGAATTTATAGAAATAAAAATAAACACTAATAGCATTTTTAAAAAACAAAATCATATATCAAGCTTCACCAAAAGCATCTTTCTTTGTTTTATTTATGTGAATTTCCTCAAATAATCGCACATAACTTATAATCTGTGGCATTTCTTCCATATTGGACACAAAGCGGGTGCTGTGGGGTTAGTGACCCTCCACTGGTGCTTATGACCCACTTAAGTCTACGTGGTTTCAAACGGGACCTGATGCTGGGGAGTGGATATAAGAGCCAGAGTGCCAGAGCCTCCCTCTGATTCAAATCCAACTCTTATTGATTCCTGGTTGAAACATCTGTAAGAGTCCAAAGTTTCTGCAGTGTGAAGCCGTCACTCTCTTCACTCTCCATGACACCTCCACCTGCCTTTCAACTCTTCCCCCTACACACCGACTTGGCCATAAACGCTCCCAGATCAACCAACGTTAAAGTCTTCTCTGATTTAAAAAGAAAACGACAAGAAGAATAATGAGAATAATTTTGCAAAACAAACCCAGGTGCAGCCGACTGTCTGGTGTGAAAAATCCCAAAATAGCTTTAATTAAACTTACAGAAAGGAGCTCACAAAACAGGAAACGCAGGATCAGCCAAAGCATCCAACACACGGTGCAACTACAATCAAATCAGGTGAGACGAGGCTCTGTATGAACCCACACAGGGCTGAGGAAGCACAGGTGGAAACAGTTAGGGTGGGAAAGACAATTATAAAGCCAGGAAATGAAACAGGAAGTCAATGAAGAGTTACACAAGAAATACTTTCAAAATAAAACAGGAAATCAGGGATTAACCAAAACCTTAAGTTTTAACTAAACCAGACACCACAATTGCCTCTTCATGGCAATAAAAGAAGAGCATCACTGGTTCTCTGGATGAACGACAAAACCGAGTGTAGTCGTATGAAAGCTAAAGAACTCTAAGCCTTTAAACACTGTGCCACCAGGAAGCCTCGTAGCACCAGGCAGGAAGGTTTTATATAAAACTTTGGCAGAATAAATAAGCCCACAGGCGATCAATAACTGTGCTGACGCTTGTGCAGGGATCAAGGGGGATTTTCTGATATATTTTAATGCATATGATTTGTTTTAGCAGGCAGGCGGGGGCCGAGCCTGCAGAAAACTCAGAGAATCTGGTTTGAAGAGTACAGTACACGCACATCCTGGTCAACAAAGAATCCTCACGTATCTGTGAAGCAGAATCTGCAGGGCTCCACCACCAAGACCAACACCACAGGTATGGACACGCAACAATACACCAGAGGTTGCAGGCGAGATTTGCACTCACAAGTTGCAACATTTATTTTCATTTTTCTGTCGGCTGGACACGAGCTCCTCCTCGCGTGGAGAGAACACTGAGCTTCTTTCTACCTGCAGCTCTGACATCTCTAAACTCTTATGGCTTCTATTTTTCTTCGTTTAGCTCCCAAATTTGCTCATAAATAACGCCAGCAGCACCAGCTGCATGTTCACGCCTGCTCTGACTGGCATCACCCCCCACCCCCTCATCCTACCCCTGATTTGTTGCATTTACTGTTCTGTGTTGTGGATAATCTGGTATCACTGTTCTCTCTTGTTGCCATGAGCCGAGTGAATCCAGATTTTCTCCCGAGGGACAGTGAAGTAGCCATCCATCTGTGCAGCCCTCCATCTACACTCTGAGATTCATTCTGTGGCGAACGAGGAGCTGCTGAAAAATGGCCAACAACAGGTTTTAATTCCTCCAAGTGTCATCTGTGCATGTACAAATAAGGACGAAGCCAAACCTAAAGAGCTGGCACACAAAGCACAAAGCAATCTGCCATCTCCATCTCAGTGCTGAAACGAAGACTCACCTCATGTTACTGGTGTGTGTGTGTGTGTGTGTGTGTGTGTGTGTGTGTGTGTGTGTGTGTGTGTGTGTGTGTGTGTGTGTGTGTGTGTGTGTGTGTGCTGATGTTTTCATCACAGCAGGAATGACATTTTAGTTTTCTCTTAATGGAGATGCAACGTTTCAGAAGCAACATGTCATAGAGTCAAGTAGGAAGTGCATTCATTTGAGACTAAATACCTCTAACACCCCCCCCACCACCACCACCACCACCACCACACATACGCGGAGAGAGACCACCACCAACCCCTGCTCTTTCTACAACCTCCAACCACATCCGCTTCTCTCTCTCTTCCCTCTCCTGGCTCCAACCATGAGGCCACCGCAGTGCTGCTGCCGGCCCTGTTCGATGGCCGAAGCTGCAGGAGAGACCTGATTACTCTTATTTATTTATTTAATATTTGAAATTTCTCCTTTTCTAAACTGGTTTGCAGGCGTGCTGCATCCAACCACCTCAAGGCCGAGCGGAGCCTCTGAGTGGAATTAGTGCAAACTGGGGAGTTTAAGCGAGAAGTGCGTGATTGCTGTGAGTTTGCGTGTCAGCCTCCCCCCTCTCACTGACTTCACTGCATCCTCCCTCAATTCTTTCGACTAAAAACAGAAAGAAATAAAAAGTGTCTTGACTAGAATCTCCGGATTATCATATCAAGAAGGACGCACGAGCAGAGAGCGGCGCTCACAGCCCGAACAGTCGGTGTTTGTCCCCTTTGTCATCTCTTCCCCTAGCGCTTGATTAACATTTCACTCACGTCCAATTCAAAGTTCAGGCTTATAGATGAGGGGAGGCGAGGGAGTGGGGAGAGGGGTGAAGGAGGAAGAAGGGGAGAGGGAGGCGGATGGGTGAAACTAAACCCTCCAAACACCCACGTCGGGCCAGATTCTCCTGCCAGCCTCAGATTTGGGGGTTTTTTACGCATCCTTCTCTGGGAAGGATGGAGGGGTTGTGGATGAGATGCAGGGGTGGTGAGATGGCGCGGCGTAACACTTTGCGGGCACTTCTAGCAGGTCTGCGCTGCGTGGGTCTGAGGCTGGATGCAACAGCCCCCCCCTCCCTACACGTTACCCTGGCACGGATCGGAACGATAATCAGCTGTGAGCTCGAGTCTCTTTTCGCCGGAGAAGAAGAGGCTGACTGGCTGAAAATCGGCACCGAAAACTCAGCACTGAAATTCTTCAGCGACTCAACTTAAAACAGCAAATTTCCCTTCGTGCGTGGAGCCGTGGGCACGGCTCTGCCTGCAGCAGGAGAGGCGCCCCGGCCGGTTCTTACCGATGTGAATGATGGAGTCGGCGCTCACAGTGTTGCATTGCAATATCCACAGGGAATGAAATAACAATATCAGCGTTTCCATCTCCAGCGTGAGCCAAAGGGGCGCATCCACGGATCCACCTCGCTTTATGCTTTTTATTGTCTTTCTCTGTTTTTCTCCAGCGGTGCTGCCGAGCAAATCCAAAATAAGCGTCGGTGCGTAAAAGCGGCAGCGGCGGCAGAAGCAGCAGCGGCGGCAGCGGCAGCAGCGAGGAGCAGTGCTGAGTGAAATCAGCAGCGAGTACTCGTCAAAACGTCCAAGAAGAAAAACCCAAATCCAAAAAGAGCAAACTGTTGGCCGAAGTCGAGAGAAAGAAGACGTAGAAGCTCCCGCGGCTCCGGAGAGAAAGCAACCCGGGTGAGCGAGAAGGGGAGAGGGGAAGGATGAGAGAAGACACGGGGGTTGGATTCAGAGGTTGAGATCCGCCGGACGAGCAGCTCTGACTCTCTACCTCCGAGTATGAGACATAACACACTGCAAACTGCGGAGGAGGAGGGACGCTCTCTCTCTCCCCTCCCTCTCTCTCGCTCTCTCTCGGTCCTTCTCTCCTCTCCTCCGACCCACGTGACTGCGGAGCCTCTATCTACGGCGCTGTAAGCCCGACCGGAGAAAAGAGAGGCGAGGGCTGGAGATGGATATGGAGGGATGGATGAGAGCGCAGCGCGAAGGAGACGTGCGGAGGTGGTGGCGCCCTGGACTCTGGCTTGGTGGCAAGTGGGCTCGTGACTCGTGGGTCGCTTTTATTTGTCTTTACCGAGTGGAGCCGGTGATGAACTCGAGACAGCCCGGCGCGCTTATCCCTCCGTCCGGAGTTCACGGACACTCCGCGGCCGCTGCGGTGGCCGTGCTGCCCGCGTGTTGTTCGGTCACGTCGCGTGACTCTGACCGCGGTGTCCGTGCGTAAATCCAAGACCCGCGCGATGTGTCGCGTTTTTCTTTTTGCTCTCTGGTGACAGAAAGACGAAGAGCACGCGGCTCCTCTGTCGCAAACGTCTCGTGCTTCTCGTGGGTCTGCGTGGGTTTGTATGAATGAATGTGTTGGAGTGGAGCAGCAGCGCGGATCTGCGCTTCCTCCGGGCGGCTTGGATAGGTCGTGGGTGACGCGCTGGGCACTGTCGGAGGTTTACACCACCCCAAAAACCAAACAAGTTCCTCTTTCAAGCGGTTCCCTCGCAACCGCAACACCTGTAACCCGTGACGTATTCAGAGCTCCGGGTGTCACACACACAGGTTTTGGGCGTCGCAGCGTGCGTAAAATCTTCCCCCAGCGCCGAGTGGAGGCTCTACAGAAACGGAGCGGGAAAGAACCAAACGCGGAGACTCGTGGGGTTTGGTTTTATTTTATTTTTTGTTTATGCGTGGACGCACCGTGGCACAGACACGCTGCGAGGGAGAGGAGGGGAGTGATGAAGGCAGGTGAGTGTCTCCCAGCAGCCCTGAAGCTGCGGCTCTCTCACACCGTGGGGAGGATGCCTCCACTGCACGTGTCACTCTGCGAGTTTTCTGGTGACTTGAAACCACTGACTGTGACACTGTGACGTCATGACCTCTCCCCCGATGTCATTCCAGGTGAACCGGGGCTGTGACGGACTGTGGATGGCTGCCACCCTGCGTGCAAGACTGCTACACGTGACCTTACAATTAAAGGATATTTCTTGCGAATGACTCAGAAATGTCTTTTAATTGTTCGGTTAAGTCTAGCTCTGCTGAGGAACCCGAGAGGAACCTTCCAGCTGACGGTTTCAGCACCACGCGGGTCCGGACAGCTCCTCTGGATTCCCCGCACACTTTCTTATACGGAGTGTCAGAAGGGACAAAAGTATCCGCAGGGGTATCTGACGAGTCAAATGAATAAAAGAATATTCACCAGCAGAGAAAAGCAGACCGCAGTGAGATTCGTTTAATAGATTCTTTAATGGACTCAGTAGAATCTGCAGGAACAAGAGTGACTTAAACAAACTGAAGCATTACTCTTATTGCAGTTAGTCTGATTTGTACTCCTCCCGTTCTCTTACTGAACAGGTGCTGATGAGGTTTCACATCAAACTGAGTGCTTGTGCAGATACACCACAACATCGAGTGAGTTTATGTGAGCGCAGATGATGTTTTGGTTAATGAGGCTTCACCATTAGCCTTTGCTAATTTGTTAAAATGTGCATGAATGAGTGTGTTTAGAGCAGCTGCACTGGGAAAACTGTGAAGCTTGTTATTACTTCTGCACCCAAATATGTTTCTGAGCTGACGAGGATCTAAAATGAGCTCCGACTGATTGCAGCTCCGTCACTTTTATGCAGTTGACTGTGAATCTGTGGACAAACATGTACACTCTCCAGCCAATTACAAATTCAGCCAATCCACGTGTACCTCGCTAATGTTTTCAGTTTTGAATGTAAGAGGGGTTCACACTGTCATCTTCATCAATATACATCTATAAAGTCAGCACCCTCACCGGTAATAATCGTTACAGTCATCAGTGCTCATCTAAATGACATAATCCCTCCATTATAATCCTGATCATTAACATGAGGCATCATCACTCAATCAATACTCTTTAAAACAAATAAGTAGAAAAGTGCCGTGTAGCATCTGTGAGCAGGAATTAAACTGCAGTCATGCAAATAGTGATATTAGGATATGCCACATATCTAATATATGTTGTATTAGACGTCTTTATTTTACCACTTGTAAAGCATGCATCACTAAATTATTAAAATTAATTCAGAGTATAATGGTTCCTCTACGGGTTGAGAAAATTCTCCTTCCTCTTAATTAGAATCAATTATTTTAAAAGTCATTATGTTAACTGAAAAATGTATTTCCAGGAGGAGTGAGCAGGTCTTTCTCAGCTAATGAAAACTCGGGCAATTTGGAGCTACACGGGTTCCACGCGACATTATTAGATGATGATATTAGATGTTTAATATTCCTAATGATTGAAATCTTCATAAGTAATTGACTTTTATTGTACCTGATTTCACACACACACACACACACACACACACACACACACACACACACACACACACCTGACCTGAAATGACACAGGCTTGTTAAAAGGAGTCTCTCCATTGGTGGAACATCACACCCCCTACTGGCAGCAAGCTGTTACTGCGGGGCTTTTATTCTGAAGGTGAAATAAAGCGCCTGAAATGCAAATTCTGGTCGTTACTTGTTCTGTTGGACATTTATTGAAATCAGCTAATAAAAGATAAACATTTCCTCAGTGTGACGTGTCAGTTAAATGATGTAACCTGTCAACATTTGCTTCCAATATAAAAATCAAAAGAATTATATTTTACTTATATCTCAAGGTCAGTTTAAAAAAAAAATCAGATTTTGAGCACAAAATCTGCTCCTCAGTCTTTCCATTCATATATTTATAAAACACCTCATTCATTAAAAAGCACTGTGAGAATTGATTTTTTTGTAAAAGTATTTCCTGATTCATGAAGCGGATAAAACAAACCTCTCTGTGTAAAAACCTTTTGACTCCAACATGTAAATCCACAGAAATGGATTTGAAATCGTGTTTTATTCATGTTACATTTCTGCTCTGGGAAATAATAATTATAAGTTAAATTAGTACCTCATGCGCATTTTCAAAAATTAAAACTGTAATATGAAATTTGTTATCATAATTTCAGTAATTAACTGGGGAGGTTTCAGAGGACTCTGTAGTACTTTTTAAAATACACACATTTCGTAATACACACACTTTAAAGGACATATTTGATTTTTAAGAAAGTACTATTAAACTCCTCTGTGTAAATCTTCTAAACTGGATCGTTTGATGCTGTTGATGGAGATTACTGGCTTGGTTTCGGTTTCTCTGTTTTTTAGAGTAGGCGTTGTTCATCATTATAATTCAGAAGAAACATAAATTATTCATTATTGTACTAATGTAGACTTTTTCGGGCTCTGCACTTTACGTGAGTATTTCTTTCTGACTAGTTTTTGTTGTTACTCGCCACTGTTTAACACAAATGTACTTTCTACTATTTACATCTTCAGAACAGACTCGACTTCAGCTACAAGACATCTGAGGGGAGTTATTATTTCCCGTAACTGAGCGCCTTCAAACATTCAACCGATTTAAATCTAATTTGAGGGAACAATTCTGCTGGCGTATCAATCACGTGTTTAATCCACACAAAGAGGGAAAAGAGGCACAAATCATAATCGATGCATCATGTATTGTACTGTAGTCAGAGATCGAAGTAGTCCAGAACAATCCGGAACAATGTGTTTGGTGCAGATGTCCATAAACCGAGCTTTAGCATTTAGCTAGCTGTTGAAGAGCAGCGAGCGTAATCGGTGTAACGGTTCAGTGAGTGTCCGGTAATTTCAAATACAACATTTCTAACAGCTCAACAAATGTCAGCGAACACGTAAACTGTTTGCTGCCACAGCTAGCTAAAGGTTCAGATGCTCCATTTCCCACAATGAGAGAGAACGTGCAAGAAAAGCAGGAACGGCAAGAACGACGAAAGATTACTTTGAAAGGTAAGAAAAAGCTTACATGTAATGTCTTCATCCAGTTTTGGATCCACACATCACGTGTCCGTGAATTATGCTTTTGTGAAGCTTCCTGTAAAACAAGTTGAAGTATATCAGCTTTGTAGTATCCAGAAACCTGAAAATACCAGATACTGTACTGCAGACTAAACAGGTCAGTTTGTGGATTCATTACTTTACGGGGTGGCTGTAGCTCAGGTGGCAGAGCAGGTCAGCCACTAATCAGAAGGTCGGTGGTTCGATCCCAGGCTGCCTCCTGGCTGCATGCCAAATATCCTTGGGCAAGATATTAACCCCGTGTTTGCCTACTGGTGGTGGTCAGAGGGCCCGGTGGCGCCTGTGTCCGGCAGCCTCGCTTCTGTCAGTGCGCCCCAGGGCGGCTGTGGCTACAATGTAGCTGCCATCACCAATGTGTGTGTGGATGGGTGAATGACTGAATGTAGTGTAAAGCGCTTTGGGGTCCTATGGACTAGAAAAGCGCTATACAAATGCAGGCCATTTACTTCCAGGCTTCTTTAATTCATTATCATCAGGTTTCTTTAAAAGATCCCTGAAAAGCCTTCAGTTGATCCAGAACGCGTTTATCCTTTTTATAATAAAATAACTTTGAGTATTGCTTGTGTTTGCCCTGGAAGAATCTGTCAATGGTGTAAGCACCAGAACAAGATGGACGGTCTTGAGTCTGAAATCATTCAATAAAACGATCAAATGAAGCAGTTTATGTGTTCAAATGCAGGTTTTCTAACATGTCTTTATGCATATGCAAGATTTTACTCCCACTTGCTCTTGTTCTACTTTGTGTGCATCACAGACGTGTCAGGGGCAAGCATGGCCAGCAGTACTTGAAATAAGTATATTAACACATGTTAATGTGTTAATATTAATGCATATTAGGTATATGCATTAATATTAGGAGAAATAATAGCGCCGGAAAGGTGAAGATGCAGG